CGAGTGGGCGCAAGTGGCAGCGGGCTGCTGCCCTGAGTCGCCGTGTCCTCTAATCCCAGCTTCACCCAACCAAATTAGGAAGTCGAATGTCCAACTCGCCTGCCCCGGGATTCACTCACTTCCCGTTATAAAAATACGACATTTCCAGCCAAGGAAGCATTTTCAGCACATTTCCCTCCTCAGTACGTTCTGGCTGTCTCTCTGCAACACCCATTTGCTACTCAAGCAGCCACCTTGGAGCTATACAAGGCATCAGCAGACCTCACAGGAAGACTGTTTTCATATGAAAGAACAGAGGAGAAAAAGCTCCTCTCCAAAAGCACTGTTAGCTCTGTGCTGAACTGGTCATGATACTTCACCCCCAACAAATTTTCAGACCATCCCCAGACTGGTGAAACATTAGCAAGTCCATCTGCAGATGAGAAGTGAAGATGCACAATTTAATTAACTGGCCCATTAGACACCATGCCAGAGTTGGCATTGCTCTTCCAAATGTAGACGTTACCCTCATGGATTAGGCTGTCTCCATCTAATCTCCCGCCTCGTCTCCAGCAGCAGCCAGCCCCCGGCGCCTCGGAGAAAGGTGCAGGAAACTCCTCAAAGCAGAAGCCTTTAGGTTTGGGCTCCAGCAGGAGGATAAGCACTCCTGGGTTTATCTTGCTCAAGAAAGGATGGGATGAAAGCATCAGTGTTTCTTATTAGCATACCTGAATTAATTTAAATCACTAACTTTAGTCATGGTTTAAATTAGCAGACAGGAAGCATCTTTTCAAGTAAATCAATTTTATCCTGTTTTGCATGCGTAGTTTCATTTTTTGCAAGGAAGATAACTGGGGTAAGGAAAACGAGAGCAGCAGGGAAGGTACACAGCCAGCCCAGAGCTGGACTGCAAACGCAGACTCCAGGTGACTGTGTGCTAGAGGTACCAAACACAAAATGGGAGCTAAGTTCCCCTCTTCAGAGTAGCAATAATGTTCCAATTAAGACAGAATAATATACTTCCAGGCTCACCTACTAATTATAAGAAATAAATCCACTCTCCACTTTTTCAGAGAGAGTAAGGACTGCTACTCACAGAAGGTCAAACGAGAAAGCCTCAAGCAGCAGGCAACGCTCTCCTTTAAAGATAAAAGCTCATGCGTTCCCCAAACAGAATCCCTCTCCCCCAAGCACCTTCAGCTGCTAAATCCGTACAGGACGTACACAAGGGTCTGAATTATGTACGGAACGCTCCATTAGCTTCCTTCACCCAACCCTGTGATATGGCCCCCAATGTGTTAATAATAAATCTACAGTGAATAGATTAAGGACCACCTCCAGCTGCGTATTGGTTGTTCTTCCATCTTAAGGTCAACGAAAAACATCGCCCCACCAGGCCATCTTTCCAAGCTTTAATCCATGCACAGAATTCTGCATATAAAGGACTTGCCCATGCGTTTGCATGCGGGTTGCCTCCGAGCAACCAAAGCAGCAAATATGAGTCCTCAGAAGTGGACCACGAGTTTTTCTAAGCATGATCAACAGTAGCTCAACTTCACTCTTAGTAGAAGGGAATGCTACTGAGGCAAGTCAAAACAAAACCCGAATCAGAGAAAAGAGAAGTCAAAACTTGGTTATTTAAACCAGAACCTAACTTGAAATAAAGACAGTGTTACCCGTTAAACAGTTTATGCATTATATATTCAAGAACGTAATACAGGAGGAAAGAGAGGCAACGTTCCTGCTGTACTTTAAACAGCTGACTATATGATTTCTGAAACACAGAAGAGTTCAGATAAGAGATACTGTTGTAGGATATCATCTACCCCCACCCACTGTGGTAGGGAACAACCTGATTCCTCTTGCTTCATGCTACAGCAGAATGGAAACGAGCAGTTATAGCCTCTTCAAACTCATTCTAGAAAAGCTGCAGCAAAAAGTCCAAAAGTCAAACAGTTGATTAAAGTCTGGAAATACACAACTACCTACACCACTGTTAGGATTTGACTTTTTTTTTTTTTTAAATACATACCTTCGCTGTAGTTTATTACAATGACTGACACCTGCCCAAGAGGAGGAAATTAAAACAACTCTACCAGAAAGGTCTGTAAATATGACAGGTTTAAAAAAAAAAAAAAACACACACACACACACAAAAAACCAAACAAACACATGTTAAACAGGGAAGCCAAAGTGCTATTCAGCAATGTGAAGAAATGTGGAAAGGCACCTGGGAAGACAACAGTCAATAGTTCAATACCTTGCTGAAAACTGTTCTTTCAATAGCACTATTTTTTATAGCAAAATGTACACACACAAGCAAGTTTGATATTTGAGGAACAAAGAATCCGCAGAGTGCAAAAAGGCACATGATGTTTAAGCTGCTGCTCCAATTTAATGTCCCTTCCATCACAGCCTACGTTAGTCTGCTCCTCCAGGTCTGGGCCTTTGCTTGGAAGATTAATTTGCGTCGGGCAATGCAGAGCTGACTAAGTATGAATTTTAATGTGCAAAATTGTAGAGTTACGGCTCTGAGCATAGAGCTCTGCCTTGGTGCAGTTATATATCATTCAGATTACATCACCTTTCAGAGTAGACATTTTCCAAAGCAAGAGTAGAACAGTCCTTGTCCTGTACATTAAGGCAATTAATTAGTTTCAGGCTATAAAAATGCAGTGGTGAAGCTCAGGAAGCTGGTCTGTACAAAATTCACTAGGCAAATTTCCAAAAATCACACAAGTGGAAAAATTTAATGGTCCAACAGTGAGTTACTATAAACTTCAAACTATTGCACACACACCTGCTATTGTCACATCTATTGACATAACAAATACATCTTTCTTTACTACGAACTACTGATATTAAACTCCCAGTGACTCACTTCATCCTTACATTCACTCCTGTGGACTCATTTTCATCTTAATTATACAGTTCAATTAAACTTGGTTGGTTTTTTTTGTGCAGTTAGATATAGTTGTTCCAGCAAGTCAATTATGCAAACCCATTTATCTGTCATTTCAGGAAGGTAGCCTTGATTAACAAGCAAACACACAGCATTAGCAGATTCAGAATAAACAGCAAGCAAGATTCATGCACCATAGGTTCTGCCACATTGTACAAGGCATCCTACATGGTTACTTTCTGAGCTAGAGGCGCGTAACTGCAAAGAAAACGGTCAAGGAACAGAGATAAAAGGTTAACCAAGACTGAACAGTGAACTGCTCAGACACTTTTGGCTTTGGATGATGCGATCTCAGAATTACAGACATCAAGAGAGGAATTCAATGATGCAAGTCAACAGTTCACCAGGACAAAATTCCACAGCACAGACACGGACACTAAAGGCTATCATCCCAGCTGAATAATTGCGTACTGAAAAATCTATACAGTCATATTCAAAGCACAAAGAAATAGTGTAACAAATCAAGAGAAAAAATAAAGGAAAAGTAGAAAAGTCAGAATTCAATGAATAAATTCTTCAATGAAACTGCCTGCTATCCCTTGACTGTTATTTGGATGCAGTGTGAGATACAAATAGGAAGGAATTAATATTTTAAACTAAACCAGACATGGAGGAGGAATTCTTCTTGAAGAACACACTTAATTTTTCCTTTTCAAACTTAAACTGTTCTTTATTAATAGAAGCTCCAAAAAGGGAAAAAAAAAGGTAGAGAGGTAGGACACCTAACAATAGAAACTCCAAAGGGGGGGGAAAAAAAACTGGGTGGGGGGGAACACAACACAACATCCAATAGAGTTTTGTGAAGTCCTGGCCTTCTTTCATAACCTGTCCCAAATCAACAGTGAAGTCCTTTTCCAAAGTGCAGTGACAGATGAAGGAGATGGAAAATAGGAACAAGTAGAGATAAGCAGTCAGTGACTCAAGACTGAAAATGCTTAAAGTACTTCTACTACTCCAAAGATCAAGAGACACACAGAGGTCACAGAAAAGCAGATGAAAATAAGACTGAGACTGTAAAGAACAAAGCATTAACTCCTTATGAAGGCCGCATGTGTACAGCCTTTTAAGACTGAATTTCACAGAAAATCAATTGTGGTGGCAAGGAACATCACAGGAAAAAAAAATGAATGAGGCACTGAGATGAGCATAACATTTTGGTTATGTTCTCCAGTTTCATAAGCACCAAATTCACTCAGATGTACTTTTTAAAATGTGTTTGTCCAGAAAGTTCTTGGAGTTTATTATACACATATTTAATAACAGGTGATACTCAACATTTAAGCGTTGATGAACTAAGATTACAAGCACTTTAGCATACAATGTATACTTAGGCTAAAAAAGCAAAAGATTCAGCATAAAAGGAAGTGTAGGAGAACGCAACTTCATAGATATCCCTTCCGTC